TAAAAATGTAAGAATAAACTGAAAATCATTAATGAAAAACTGATAGATAATAAATGAATTGTTTATAATTAATTAATATATTTCTATACTTGACTGACTGTTTATAAGATTAAAATGTAAATTTCCAATATTACATTTTTTATATCAGTAAGTTTAATTTACATAAAACCTCATTTTTTATCTTTCTATTTGATCAATTTGGTTCATAAATATTTAATATAACATAATATATATATATATATATATATATATATATATATATATATATAATATAAGAGAGAAAATAAAATTACAATAAATAAATTATGTATATATAAATTATATTGTTTCTCAAATTTAATTAAAGTTTTGCTGTGGGACTAAACTCACTTTAACCCTGACCCTAACCCACTTGAGAGGGAGTTTTGGGGGTTGGGGTTTTTTTCTGACCCCTACTTGAGAGACTTCTTAAAATAAGGTTTTTTCAATAATGGGTTGGGCTGCCTGGGGCCATGGGTTAAATTGACACCTCTACTTAAACTTGCTTTAATGAGATTGTATTTTTCTTAGTGTACTGAAAACTAAGTATATAATAATTATTGTGCTCAACCGATTATTTATTTTTAATAATATATTTACTTTTAATAATATATTATCTAAGAGTTGTTGATTAAAATTGTTATATAATAGAATATAATCTAACTCATTATGAAGTTCAAGTTTTCAATATGATATTTTAAATTTTTCTTTGTTTATCATTAAAATAATGATTTAAATATTAATTTAATTTTTGTTTTTGTTAGTTTTTTTTTGTTAATGTCGTTTAAATACTTAACTATACAATATAAACACAATTTATTTTTCATAACTCAGATCTTTCTCTTAGTTATTTCCAAATCACTTATTTATTGTTTCTTTCATTTTTTTTTTCTCTACTTTCAATTAGTATAACAAAAACATTCTAATGAGGAAACGATTGATTTAGAGATTGAATATAAAAATATGAACATACCTAAAATCCTAAATCAAGGATACACTTCTGAGAGGAAAACACCTTTCACTTTTTTCACTTCCTCTTCCAATCATTTTCAATAGGATGCACACATTCTACTTTCAATCATTGTAATTGAATAGAATGTCGTAATTGTGAGTCATTTAGAGAAGTGAATTTTAGTGTGTTAATATTACTTCCTTCCTTATAAGCTGATTTTTCCATCAAGTACCTATGAACTCATTTTTTCTGTTAACATGCATATTTCTTGTGTTCTTGAATTTTTATTTTTTTTTCTAATTTCTTTCCCAACACTACTAAAACTAGTGAACAAACCAAAAATTAAAATAATTTAATTACTAATTTAAAATTGATGTTGTTGAATGGATAATGAAATTCATGGAGAAAATGAGGTTTTAATGATAGAGGTAATAACATAAGTGAGGAAGATGATAATGTATAAAAAGTTGAATAAAAATAAATGAAGTGTCAATGTTATAATAATGAATCATATTATACACTATACTACTAACTATTTAAATACCATTAATAAAATGTACTAAATTGATCAAAATTAACCAAAATTAGAATCTATTAAATAAAAAAATAAAATAAAACCACATTAAACAATTTTAACAAAATAATAATAAAATTAGTATTTAATTATAAAAAATTCAAATATTTTATCAAAAGGTTATTACAGTAAAAAAAATATTAAAATATTTTACCTAACCTTTATCAAATTATTATTTATACTTGATTATTTATATAATGGTATTTTTTTTTATTTTGATATAATTTTTTTACATTTAATATATAATAATATTATTTTTTATTGTAATTTTTATTTTTTAAATATTTAATTAATATTTGTAGCCGTACAAGGACAAATACATTACCATTTTCCGATGGAAAGATAATGGAGATAATGCTCATATGAAAATACAAATAAAAATTAATTTTCATTTGAGATAAAATGAGATAATTAAACCTACTTTATTATCTACTAAAAATAACACCACCACTATGATGATTATATATATATATATATATATATATATATAT